GAAAAAACCTCTCGGCAACGACCAGTTAATAAACGACTGACGAACGGTGAATACAAACACCTGACCGATTTTCTTTAAAAGTAAAAGGTCATGAAACGTGCTCTGTACTATGGACACTATGGATACTATGGATTTCTGTTTTATGGATACGTTTTGATTGTGTCACGTATTTAGAAACTAAAATGAGCATTTTTCAAAAATTAAAAATGTTACATCCCCCTGAAAAGGGGTCATATTACACCCCCACCTCCCTATAGCGGCCACCTCTCCACAACAGCCACTTTCCTGTGTCCCCAAGGTGGCCATTGCAGAGAGTTTCTACTGTATATAACCACTTTGCATTGAAAAGATCAATCTGTTATGTAGTAGAATGAAAGTAGATCGGTTACCCTAACTTGAGTGCTCAACCGATACACTGGCTCAAATAATTTTGATCGGAATGTTTTTTTTTCTGCCATGCTGTCTTTCTTCGGTAGTTGTAGGAACATCATTGAAGTGATTTCATAAAATGCTCATTTAAATTTTGCTCATTTATATTTCCACAACATCAGTAACATAATGATTTACTTTTAGCTACAATCAACCATGGCTCAAAACATCATTCAAACAGTTAGTAATTAAGCGGCATTTTTATAATTTGTTTATATCTAATATATTATTATTTTTTTGTCTCTCTCCAGGAGTCGAAACATTTTAGATGATTTCAGAGAAGCATACTTCTGGCTTAGACAGAATACAGACGACAATGCTCGGTGGGTTAAGATTGATTTGCCGACAACTAAAGCACTTTAAGCCCTCTCTCCTATGGTTGACTTGCATGTAAATAAACCTTGGAAGTTGAACGTACATGTATTTTGTTATGAATGGTTTTGTGTGAATACTGCTTGAAGCGAAAATTATAGCCTACATTGCTTGCAAAAAAATTCGGACGTTTTATTTCGGACATCACGTACTAATCTCAAACAGTGTTTCAACTAGAGCTCGCCTTACAAAGGAAACTAAGAGCTTTGACGCTGCTTAAAAATTTTATACTGTACTGTAAATATTTCGGACGGTTTTTTTTTTTCGGACACTTTCTTGTCCGAAATTAAAATCGTGCGAATTTTTTTGCAAGTAATATAGATAGTATTCTTTGACGCCATAACAAAATTACGTGTGTAAGTCATGCAGAAGGTGGTTGCTGTTCACCATGGATTGTAACAATGTTGTTGATAATAAGCGTATTATAGTTAACTGTGAAGTCTTGTATTGAAAGTAAAGAAAATCACTGTCTTTATTGCAGGGTAATGTCTTGGTGGGATTATGGGTATCAGATTGCTGGTATGGCCAATAGAACGACACTTGTGGACAATAACACGTGGAATAACAGTCATATAGCCCTGGTATGGACACAGAATTCAATTAATTTAACACAAATTATTTCAGGGTGTTGCTATTAGACCACACCAACTCACACACCTAGTAAACATGTTTAGATAAAACAAGGTGAAAAAGTTAAAAACCTACTGGTAGAAAAGTCGCGCTTTGTCGCAAGTAGTGCTTAAGTGAGCTCTCACTGTGGTAAATTTGTTATCTGTGTTTGACGACAAGCAATGTTGGACAAGGTGCTATACGAGAAAGTAGTTCCAGCGTGTAGCAGGTGCCGATGAAAACAGAAAAACAGACCCCGGGGCATTTTATTGTTCATCTTGATTGCGAACAATATGGCTTTGACCGATTTCAAAACACAGTTATGCATATTCATTTATATATTTCCAGCCCGTGACAAGTGTTACTTTAGTTTGCCTTGGTGTAACAGTGAGCACGTGACCCAAACAACTGGAGGCTCTGAGAACGAGAAAAACAATTCGTTTACAGTTTGACTCCTTCAGCCAAGGTCGCCCAACATCATTTTGCTAATACTTTTCCGAAAAATCATCAATCAAAGCAAGCCACGCACAACATATGTGACTACACTCAGTCCTATCGGTCAATTTGCTGAGAAATTGTTTAGGTAGCCATGGTTAAAGTAGTTTCACTGTAATGGCAGTCTTTCGCTTTTTCAATGTCAGGTTGGAAAAGCCATGTCGTCCAACGAGACAGCGGCGTACAAGATTATGAAGATGCTGGATGTGGATTATGTGCTGGTTATATTCGGCGGTGTGATTGGTTACTCTGGTGATGATATCAACAAGTTTCTGTGGATGGTTAGGATTGCCGAGGGCGAACACCCTCAAGAAATCAAGGTCAGTCAACATGTTAATTCTCCTAATAGCTTGCCATAGACTTGAGCGATTCTTAAGGTTTCTGGGAGAAGATATGTTTTGCTCAATGATTTTATTGAGGTTGTGCATGCAGGAGAAAGGTATATAGAGTAAGAGGGGGTTATGATGAGCGGCAAATATTCTCTGATTAGGTCTTCAGATCTGGAAGAAGTATGAAAAGTGATTATGATCGCTGAACATGTATTCTCCGATTTTGCTCAAGAGAGAGCAACTTGGTAGATAATCAAAATCCGTGTCACTTAGCAAAATTTCATGTTCATGCATGCATGTCTGGGCCAACGAAAAAAAAATGTTTGGGGAAATGTCTGGAATTGTTATTAAATTTTGTATACAGAAATTGGAGCTCAGTAAATTGACATTTAATTTAAATCCACGGCCAACCTGCCATCACATTTGAGGTGGCTCCATAGGGTAATCATTTATGGCGTTCCGCGCGCAAGTGTTATGTTTTGAATGCTGTTTTTGCATTCATTTTTACACCTAGTCCTCTCAAACTTATTACATGTAATAACCAATGATTAAATAGTATTTTACTATCTTCTCTGTTAAACTTTTGGGCTTTAGTCTTGAATTATAAAGGCCCAAACAAATATGCTTTTTGCTGTTTTTATGGCTTTATTTGTGATTTTCTTGAATTTCCTTCGGTAAAATCTTCCACAATTTTCACAACAAATCGCATTTAGAGGAATACGAACTTTAAACAGGAAAAAAGTGGGGTTTGTAAAGGTAGTTTTTTTCGGTTTTTGCAAATTTATGTCTTTTACCGCTGCGAAAAAACTGGTCTTATAGTTTTCCCTTTAGTTTCAGGGAATTTCACCGAAGGAAACGCGAGAAAATTCATAGAATATCGAAAAACACAGACGTTTTCCTTTGAGCGCGCGCAGATTACCTGAACTTTCGTTCTTGGCGCGCGTGCGATCGTTAAACTATAGGGAGCCACCTTAAGTACTTTTGGTTGTGAAAATATGAGTTCCAAAGGAAAGAGAAATTCTTTGTCCCCGGCCACTTCCCTTATTATCCATATTCTCTTCCTTGTCCCTCCTCATTTCTCCTCTCCCAAAACTCCCCCCGATTATATTTCTCTGCTCTTTCTCCTCACTTTGCAAGCTACTCGTTTCACATAACTATTGTATTGTATTTTGTAGGAGTCAGACTACTTCACTCCGCAAGGCGAGTTTCGTGTGGACTCTGCTGGTTCACCCATCTTGTTGAACTGCCTCATGTACAAGATGTGTTATTATCGCTTTGGAGAGATGCAGGTAAGCCGCCTCAACTTGTTGTGAAACTTTATATCTCTTGAAATACATAGCGCAGGTTTAGACACCTTGTGCTTAAAATCTCAACCTGCCAAAGATCATTTCCACAGTTGTACACCTGAAATTGTCGCAAATTGGACTGTCGAAGTACTTGACATTCGTGTTGTCATAGCATTGAATAATATTGTACCCCAGCAACTTTGTCCAGGTTTTATAATCTGTGAAATCTTAGTCTTTCCAGGCAGAAAAACCCTCGCTTTTCCGTTCTTCATTCTTCTTCTTCTGCTCTGGGCTGCGTAGCAAGCGTTTCCGTACGAAGAGCTTTTTCCGCATTGTGGCCGCGCGACGAATTGAAACGTGAACAAAAAAATAAACACAACAACAACAACAACAACAACAACAACAACAACAACAAAGAACCAATCGACTAAGCAGGGGGTGGTGGTGCTCACCCCACCACCCCCTGCTTGGTCGTATCTTTGTTTTGCTCTCGCTCCAATTTGCACGCGGACAGAATCGTACGGGAACGCTTGCTACCCAGACTACCTCTGCTCCCAAACAAACCTAACGTATGGAGGAGACCAGTATAATATTTTCAGCGTACACCTTTACGACATTATTTCTTATTTCTGGTGTGAAATTCAAGAAGTACCTTCACTTCTAGCCTGGTCAAGGGTTGTAGAATCATTGACGTGCTTTGGAAACTATTCTGACCGAAATTCCGTTTTCTTTTCCAGCTGGACTTTCGGTCTCCGTCTGGTTTCGACCGGACGCGTAACGTCGAAATTGGAAATAAAAACTTCCAGTTAGAGCATTTAGAAGAAGCTTTCACTTCTGAGCATTGGCTAGTTAGAATTTACAGGTAAGCTGGCTTTAACGACACGAAATTTTTGGCACGAAATTTTTGTGGGTTCCAATTTTTGCGATTTTTACGTTTTTTTTCCTCGATCCGCAAAAAATAAAGTTCCCGCAAACATTTTCTCTGCAAAAAGTTACACCACTTTTCACCACGCGAAATTATACATACAAACCTCACATGTAGAATCTTGTTGATGCCATTTACTTAAAACGTCTCTTTAAATAAAACGATGAAATTGCCCATACTGTAGTACACTACAGGTGTAACTGCTAAAACGCTTACAGAAAAGGTTCATCTGAAGATACTATCAGCCTACGGTAAGACGTAATTGTAATAGAGTGACTGATTACCGTGTAGTCTGATAAAAAAAAAAAAAACAAACAAAACGCAGAAAATGTTGTATTTCAAATAAACGCGACTTTTTGAAGATCCCCAAACTTGATTCCCAGCTCGAAAAGTCTTTCACAATCGCAAAAGTTAGTTCCCGCGAAATACAAAAAGTCGCCGATTCGCAAAACTAAACTCCCGCAAAAATGTCTTTTAAGGTTCATTTTAAAGGCTTTTCGCTGCGTATTAAGATCGATGCAATACCACAATTCTCTACTTCTCTTTACTACTAATTTCCAATCTAAGCAATTAATTAGTGATACGTTTTGTATCTGCAGGGTTAAAGATTACGCTAATCGAGTGAAGAGCGGTGTACCTATGAGGATAACAAATTTAAAACCAAGAAACAAGTATATTCCTCGGCGGGTAGGTTTAATCTGATGTGTTAACATATGAATGTTTCCCTATATAAGGGCCTATTCGTGGGAATTACGTTAAATTCCCTTGTATTCCTATACCATATATCCCTGCTTTCCCCTGGGGTTTACCCCCATATATCCCTGTTTCCCCTGGGGTCTTTCCCCCATATATCACTACTTTCCCCTGAGACCTTTCCCCCATATATCCCTGCTTTTCCCTGGGGTCTTTCCCCCATATATCTCTGCTTTCCCCTGGGGTCTTTCTCCCATGTATCCCTGCTTTCCCGTGGGGTCTTTCCCCCATATATCCCTGCTTTCCCCTGGGGTCTACTCCAGAGGATGCCATTGCATAATACGCGGTGGAGTCTGGTAAAACGTCGAAACATATCGCTAAAATAATTTTTCCGTTCAATTTTTGCTTTTCAGAATAATAGGAAAGGATACATTAAACACAAACTCAACGTTATTCAAGGCAAGAGAGTTCAACAAAAAGGCAAAAAGAAAAGCAAAGGCAAGAAAGCCAAGAGAAGCACATGATCAACTGACCCCGTCATGTAAAACAAAACGGACGTTCTCCGTACTCAGAAAATCGCGTGCGAAAATTCGTAGACTAACTCCGGTATTAGGTTGAAATTGTTTTAGTATGTTATTTTAGGTGTTTCACTAGTTTGTTTGTACGGTCGAACCTCTCCTCACGGAAACCTCCATATTAAATACGGACATCTCTATATTGCGGACAGTTCACTTGGTCCAAGAGAAAGTAGCATTCACACGAAAACGTCCATTATACCTATACTCAGCCCAGTCCCTTTGTTGTCCGTGTTAAAGAGGTTCCACCGTGCTTCCTCATGCATGACACTGTCACGCTATTTGAAATGATTGCGTTACAAGGATGATTGCGTTATCGATTGTCTAAAGACTTCGTTTTATGCTGTATAAACTGTAAAAGTGGACGAATTTGACTTAAATTTCGCTTAAAAAATTAGAAGCAAGACCTCAATTGGCAATGCCTGACATGACACGGTATTCTCCAAATTCAGCGCTAAACTAATCTGCATGAGTTTAACAGACTCTTGCAGTTTGAAACACAGTTTTTGGGATTTATTCAACGTGTTTTATTGCCGCCGTCATTAAGGTTGTTACGCAACGCTCTAGGAGCATTGGGCGTGAACAAAAATACTCGGAACTGGCCAAGAATGTTAAAATGCAGAACAATGTCTTTTATGTAAAAAGTCCTTCAGAGGTGGTGTGAAATTTCAATTTATTTTATTGCATTTGGTTGAAAAAAGAAATGGAACTTGTTTCAGCTGGCCCAACTTTGCTGGCAAGGCTTACTTTAAAATTACACAAGGGCCTTCCCTAGAGTCATGAGTTGTAAGGATTACACTGCTCGTTTGAAAAGTTTATCAAGTCCCAGACTTCATTTTCTGGTTATTTTTAGTCAATTATTTTCATTTTTTTCTTTTTCAATTTTGAGGTAAAACATTTTGATTTTTGTCATCAGACGGCGCAATGCACCCATCAAAGGAACATAAAAATCCGTTTAACCCTAAATGTTCAACAGCTAACTTCTTCTTTGTAGGGTGGGGTGAAGTTCTCATGGCTGTGCAACCTCGTCTCCAGGGTCTCTCGTCTTCCAGTCCTAGCGGTAGGGCGGGAAGATGAGACCCTGGGAACGAGGGTGGTTGTTTATGCAGTTGCCCTCGCTTCCAACGCGTACGTTTTTCGGGAAAAATGTTATTTAAAGTTTTACCAGTAGGTGACATTAAATGTAACTTGGAGTCAGTAATTATTGGAGACAAAATGCTATTTCTCATTTGAAAAGAAAAACGCCTTGTGATGATCCTTGAATTCTTGCGTTGGTTTCATTACAACCTTCAGAACAAATACATAGCTATAGAATTGTTGTTTGCAGGTTTGTTTTTTCACGTACAGAGCTGTTGCGTGACGGAACAATTAACTGCTGCAAAGGAAGCTAGTAGACGGTATAAGAATTTGTTTTGACGTCAAAGATTAATTTAAATCCGCCCTGTTTATATCCTAATGTTTTTTCGCTTGTACGTTAAAAACGAGCTAACCATAATTTTTCTATTCTTTGATCGAAGAAAGGTATCGAGTGTACATTTTGCGTCCTAGAAACAACTGTAAAATTAGTGTTAAGCTTTCGTGCTTTTAAGGAAATTGAAATTAAATTGAATTTCTATGATATTTGTTTGTGTTGCAATGATTCTTTTGTGGTCGGCAGTTGCTCCTGACCCGTAGAAAAAGCAATCTACGCAATAGCAAAGTGATCGACTGCAACTCGGATATTCTATTTCTAATATTGAAAATCTTGGAAGAAACGCTGACTAGTATCGTTTTATATTTAGCAGCATCATGTCACCTCTTGCTGTTGTTCTGTTCTAACCAGCTTATAATTCCTAGTCTCCTCGCAGCCGTTTTTGGGGATGTCACGCAACGCTCCCCCCAAAGTTTCTTGGGGGGAGCGTTGCGCGACATCCCAAGACACGGCTGCGGAGGAGACTATATAATTCCCGGCAAAAATTTGATGCTTTCTTTAACTGTATTACAGACATTTCGGCTCTAATTTGCACGAAACTGACATGGTTGGGAGTAAGGTATGATCATTGCTATCCTGTCTATCCTTTTCTCGTCTGTTCTGTCTGCTGCGTCAATTCATCAGAGCGGATTTCCGGCCAATTGTTTCCGCGTGCGACTCGCGAGTTCTCGGACGCGACCCTTGACCTGTGCCCTAAATTACGTCTGTGCATCAATTGGGAAAGTACAAAGTACTAGTTGTGCAAACTTCACCTCGCGTAATTCAATTGAGTCATTCAGGAAACGTGCAGTTTCTTTTGTCGTCAGAACTATTGCCTTTGTTTGGGCTGTAGGAATCTTATGTTAAAAGGCAAGACAGTTGTACAGTTGCTCTTGGTTTTTCGAAGATCTTGCTCCCGCGATTTAGAAACAGACCTGTCAGACAACAAGCACGCTCTGTTGGAGATTGCCAAGACCGCTTCTGCGATGCTGACAAGAGTTTTGAATGCCTCTAAATCATGCTGGTAAGTGAATGCAACTTTTTTCGGTAAATCTACTCCAAGGGACAGTGCTTTGAAAAAGAAATCTTACCCTCGCAGGGACCCGTCGGTCGATCAAACAAATGATTATTTCAGGCGTCATGCAGCGCTATTAGGGAGTTTACGAAACCACGACGGCAGCGGCGACGGGAACGTCACTGAACAAAAGAATTAATGAGCAGAACAATGGCTGTGCACGTGCGTTATAATTCTTGGTACATTTCTTTGCCGTCTTCTGCAAGACAACGACGTGAAATGACTAAATTTTGGGTTGTCTGGAGGACCTTAACCAAGATGGCTAATTTTTTAATTTTTTATTTCAAATTTATCGCTGTGTTCCGGATTTAGTTTTGCGATAGTTTTGACAATGATAAACAAAGTAAATGATTTTAGGGTATCGCGAGATCGTAGGTAAAATATAAATTCATTTTTTAATCGACGTTGTCCTTGGCTTCGCCGTCGTGGTTTCGTAAACTCCCTATTCTAATTACGGCGGAGGCGTTGCGTGACGTCTCGGAAATGGGCTTTAGCGTTTAGTCTTGAGGGCAGTTCACATCTTTCAGCTCGACATACAAAAATTCTTCCATGTACGTCAAAGTCTAAATATAAATCCAACAGTTGGGAAAGACCTTGGCCTTCGCGATTCTATATTCGCGCGTAGCGAATAGACAGTGCACGTGTGTCACACGTGAAAGTAACATTAAGCGTGGCGCATCTAAAATATCAAAACTTGTGGTATTGAAAGATTGAGTCATTTTTTATATATTACTGTTAGAAACTGAAGACTTTCCTTGAACGTTTCTTTCGTGTTCAGGATATAAATTTGCTATTTTTCGTTCTCTATGATCGTACATGGATCATGTATTAAACTTATTCCTTTGCCGCTGTTTGCCGACCAGCTGCTCGATCGAACAGGCGAGGTCCCATTTAAAATTGAAGTGACTAGTTGCTTTTCAATGAAGCGCAATGTTGCGATGGAATGGTCACGTTGCAACTTCAAAGAGATCCAGGTGCACAGTGGATTAAAAACTTGTTTCATATAAAAATGGAGAATCGACTGAAAACCTGCCAGCAAATCAAGGATTTTGAATATGACGTCAGCTACGCTCGAGCAAACACACAGAGTTAATTATTCACGCTTTGTTTACGTAAGAGGGTTAGCGAAAACGAAAAGCACTCAGAACTTTCAAGTTGTTGTAGACTTGCCAGCGATTTGTTTTGCTTATTGCATTGTGCTCGTGAGCTTGATAGCATTGCCTGGGCAGGAAATAGATCGAAGACATCGCTAGCTTCCTGTGGGGAGTTTGAGGAAATATGACTAACACAAGATCGAGAGAGCGTTTCAGGTTTGTTTGAATCTTTCGAACGAATACGGGTATTGCTTAACTCGATTTATTTGTAACAACAAGTGGCAGGTTATAGCTATGTAAAAAAAAAAATTAACGTGAAATAACTCGATATATGTTTTAAAAGAACAGATAATTCTGTCCCAGAGAATCGAATTTTTTCGTTCTTATAAAATTAATACTAACTGCGTAATAGTACTGTACTGGATATGTACAACGAGGCGGGTATTTCGATATCAAGCCGGCTGCAAAACACGGACCAAACATCACTGTAGCAATCGTTACGGCGATAAAAAAGAACAGAAAGTTTTCTATTGTTTAATACAGAGAAAAACCGTGGCCTGTATCGGACAGACACGAATCAGTGACCTTGGTACAACGTTATTTGAACAACTTTTCCTTCGCGTCAAGATTTAAAATATTTACATTAAAACATCGGTCACACTTTCGTCTGGTTTGCAATATATGGAGAGCAGTATGGACAGGCACAAATGAGCTTTTCAAATTAAAAATATCTTACAAAGCAGATGATATACTGGTATAGGAATCGACTTCTTGACCCGCAAAATAATATATATTGTTTTTATCACAGTGCTCTAACCTGATTATTACAACGTAAATTATTATTATTAGCTTTTGAAGTATTCTTGTCGATAACGTCGCATTGTTCAGTTCAGCTACCGGAAAACTGCTTATTATTATTGTTTTTTTTTTTTAATACGTGCATTACTATATATACTTCGACCTATTCTTGTCATATTCTCCTACGGATCCGGGACGCAGTTTGCGAGACGAACTCACGTAGGAAGGCGAGCTTTTCATTGTAGGTAACTTCCTCTAAGCTACTTCTGGTGTGTTTCAGTAATGTAGGAATTGGATTGAAAACTCTGACCTTATGCATTTTTTTGCCACATTTAATTTGAATCCTATCGAGAGAAACTGTTTTGCATCGCAAAACGCAATTACTGTTGTCTTTGTATTTACTTGTTCGTCCTGGCTGGAGTCCAGTTATGGTGAAGTGTTTACAGTACACGAATCTACAAGACGTGCAGCCTTATGTTACCGGACTGGACCCATGGCATCGATCGGATTCCGGATGACAAAAAGTGCGTCAAAGTTTTACATGTGAATGCACGGCGTCATTAAATATAATTTACGAGTCACGATTCCAATTTGAATAGAAAAGACCTTGTTACGGCAGTACACTCTTTATTCTTTTCAAGAATACAGTCGGACCTCCGTTTGCAACCACCTCTCGTAAGCGACCGCCTCTCCTCAGTGACCAGTTTTCCAAAATACCAAAAATTTCTGAGTCAGATCACTATATTTTGAACCTTTTGTAAAAGGCTACCTTTAGAGCTAAAAGTTTGAAATTGTCTTTTGTTTTTAACCTCCCATAAGTGACCTCTTGACAGATAATAGTGCAGAAATTGGATTCCTGGGTAGCTGAAGGAAATTTCTCAATGGAAAGTACCGGATTTTTTTTCTCGATATTGGCTTTTCACGTGAATAAAACATTTAAAACATGGGGTTAGTCTCTGCAGTCACCATATGCTAATGAGGCAAAATTTTGACCCAATATGGTGTAACTTTATATTAAGCCCTTGTAAGCAACCACCTGGGTTTGACATTTTGGGTAGTCGCTAACAGGAGGTTCGACTGTATTGTGTTTCCGGCCGAGGCTGAATATTATTATTTTTCTGCCGATGTGAGATTGAAAATACTCTTGTGAATATTCTTAGATTATAGCGTATGACATTTCTGTTTTTCGTGTCTGGATGGTGTTAAAGTAATTTTAGAGCAAGCCTGCGGGTATTAAAGCCTGATACCACGCGCATGGCAACTTGCAGCATATAGCTAATGCTGTTTTTGGTGCTTTTTGGCTATTTCTGTGGCTTAGAGAAAGGAAGAATTTTATACGGTTTAGTTAAAAACAGATAATTGTATAATTGTTTTTACAAAATTTCAACACAAAAATTTTATTCAGCCCAGGCTGAAGGTAAGAGAAAACGAACGAGACACGATTTTAAAACAACGTTTTGGGAATGAATTAACGTACCTAGCTACCGTGTTTCTTTGTTGTTTGGCCGCTTCTAAGATGGTTTTGAAGCGGCCTAGCAAGTCGGATAACTTACTCGTCAGTTTGTTACTGTTAGTTTTCCTCACTGATTGCACTCAGGTTTTCAGTTTAACCTAAAATTTCTGTCTCTCTAGTTGCACAGAGTACTTCGATGCTGCTGTGAAGGACGCGTTTCCGAGAAACAGATCGACAGTACGTATACTAGACGCGGGTGCGGGGCGCGGTTCAACCGCGTCCTACTTGCGGTCTCTGGGATACAATAACATTGATGCCTTAACAGTATCCAAAGAAAGACTGGACCGTGCAGAGAGAAGCGGACTGTACAGAAATTTTCTTTTCACTGCATTAAAAGCGGAATCCACTTTGTACGCCACAGGTGCGTTTGACGCCGTGATCTGCGCGGATGGCGTTTTTCCGGACGAAGTGGATCCTGATGCAATGGACGAGATGTTGCGCCTTGTTAAACCAGGTAGCGTCTTTTTTTTGTTGCAGTCATTTGATTTGAAAAACCTTGAATTGTCACAGTCGGTCAAAGTTTTCCCTTCCCTCAAAAAATTCAATTTGACAATCATTTCCAAGGTACACACTTTTTATACACACTTGTCCATACCAGAATTTCAATTTGACGCCCTTCACGGATCTTCATGTTTTAAATTTTCTAAACGTTAGATACTGGCTCTGCATCCGTTCATCATTTGTGTTGTCATGTGTGAAGAGAAGTGTTTCGTAATGACTCGCACTATAGTAGAACCCCGACCCGTTAGTGACCGTGCTAACGGAATTCCACTCTATTTCCTCTGTTTTAGACATAACTTATTGTTTGTGGATCTTGTCAAAGTAGTCCTTAGGCGCTCATTTCCTCGAGCGGGCGAACGCGAAGTACACGTTAGAGCCTGAGCACAGGTTCTATCATACGGTGACGTCATGAAGTTTCGCGTAAAATAGGGTGAGTGGAAGAGAAGCCCCTGGGTATATGACTGGTTTTTTTAAACCTATCTCTTTTGTGTGTGTTTCAGGAGGCATTGTTTGCTTCACGATGGACGCTGCTCAATTCGACGATGCCCACAACAGCTACAGGTTAAAATGCGAGGAGCTGGTGGCCAAGGGAAAGTGGAAATTAGTATCTCAGGGAATTACATCACAGTATTTTGAACCGGAAAATGACAGCAACCACAACTTTGGCGAAACTCTCCCTGATGACATCTATGTGTTAGTGTTTGTGGTCATTGACAACTAATGAAACATAGCATCTACTGAAAGTCAACCTCGATGGTTACAGCAAAATGCTATAGAGAATTTAGTTTCTTCAATTCGCCTATGCGTAGTGAAAACTTTTTCCTTTGCGGAGACCAGTGGATTTTTATGCTGGGCTGGCTTCAAATTTAGAGTAATGAGGTTTAAAAATCGCAAGTGCTGGAGCGGCCAATACTGATTTAAAAAGTTTCAGTGTGCTGTAGTTCTGAGTCCAAAAGAGACCAAACATTTTCAGAAATACCGCGAAAACTTGACAAGAAACCGTATAGACATGAAATAATGATAGCAACTATTTTTGCAGGTAAAAGACGAAGTTAAGCCGATCTTTTTCCGGAATACATCGAAAATTAATTAAGCATCCCTAAGTCGGACGTTTAAGATAAAAGTTTAAGGTATAAAATGGGCTGAATCGTTTGGACTATATTTAGACTGATAACAATTTAGTGCTTGAATGTCAGTGTAAAAAGGTCAACAAACATTGAGCCGACTTTAAAACTGCTGAGATAACTATATTATAAAGGGTTTAATAGTATGGACAGTCAGTATAATTTGTAATATATGGATTGTATATGGCTTTTATCTATGATGTTTATTTAACATTGCAAATCAATTAATTTTTAAGATTGTTTATGGCGACCGCGTTAGCGGTAATCTTTGTAACATAGAGCGGTTTTCAATGCGAGTGTCGTAAAACCAAAACCACAGTAATCACTCTAGCCAATCACAAAGCACACAGGCAATACAGTGAACCAATCAAAACTCCAAGAAATTACGTGTTGCTGGCGCAAAGCGCGGGAAAAGGTGTGCGAGCGAGGCGCGATTGGTTAGTTTTAGTTTGACTTCTGATTGGATGAAAAAGTGGCGCAAATTTTTTTAAGCCAAACGTGTATAGTAGTTGGTGCAAAACCATTTCTTTTCGACACTCCAATAATAATCGCTCTATTAGAATAATTAAGGAATACAATGTCTTCGACATCACAGAGTTCTACATCGATGTACTGTACATAGTTAATTTTGTCTCAAGTTACTTCTATTGTATAAGAGATGGATTTTTTTTTTACATTTAAGTATTACCAATGGAAAACTGGTGTAAAAATATTTCTTCCTTATAATGTACCTGGTACAATTCTTTTCAGTTTTCTGAAACAATAAAACTGGAAAATAATATTATGGATGAACAGTAGCAGGAGGGGATAATTAATATACTCACTTCGGTGGGCGGTGCCGTTTATAGTCCAGCCTTAAACTGTCCCTTCCCCGCTTTATGTAGACTTACAGGTCAACCCTTATATAGAGCGGAGGAAAGGCAGTTCAGGGACCGGGCTAATCTGTTCACAGATGAAGACGTCTGTTGTTTTTTTTTCTTTGCTACAAGTTTAGATCTGTGATACTTGTATTTCTTATCTTAGATTTTAATACTTTTTATTTTATAGAGGACCTCCCTGAAAACCACGTATTTACATGACGGGCGCTTCCTCTTTAAAGATTGTTTTTATTATTATTATTATTATTATTATTATTATTATTATTATTATAAGTTATTCTTTTCGATCTCGTTAGCGATGCGAAATAGAGGGGCTGTGGATTTGACAAGCGACTAGGGTATTTCTACTTCTCCTTAGATGGGATGCTGCGATCAAATTGCTTAAACCGCCAGCTACGCAGGCTACTGTGTGAGAAGTGTCTAATCCAAGAGCAATACACAATGTCCCCGGCTAGGGCTCGAACCCGGACCGCTAGATCCGGAGGCGAGCGCACTGACCATGAGGCCACTGCGCCTCCACTACTCCTCACTTTCTTAAAGGAGAAACCATTCATTTCACTATCGTGTTTAATACCAAACACCTTCTTTAAGACCGGACAAAGTTTTGTATCAAATCGTGCTTTCCAGAAAAATGTTCGTTACGTTTCGCGGTTGCTTTCCAAAAAAAATATTCGTTATGTTTCGTGGTTTTTAGTAGCTGAATACAGGTCATGCACCGGGAGGTTCTAGTTACTGTCGGACTATAGTAAAGCGTGATCATTGACTTCGTAAGACTCAATTCAACTTTAAATGACTCTGAGATCAAAACCGAATTAAAAGCGAGCTAAGGTCCTCGGATAGCCTGCAAGCATTCCCGTACTAACAGAAAGCTTTCCCGTACGGACGAAAGACCGTGTACATCGATTTATGCTCTCACTACAATTTTCGCGCGTCCCGCTGTCGAGAATCTCTGGACGCTAGCTATGCAGGCTAGGCCTCGGACTCAGACTACGTAAATAAAAGCACGTGACGTCATCAAGCAAATGAAGTTATTCCCTAATATGTGATTGAGAAAATTACTTCATTTTGATTGGCGGGAATAGGCAAAGCTTGATTGATTGTTAATTGGCGCTACAGTGTAAAATGTAGAATACGGTATTCCGAAAGCAAAGACTCAGGACGCCGTACTGCCTGCAACGACACCTCACATTTTGGACAGAAAAGCCACACCCCGCATATCTTTTAATTTTTGAAATCCATCTTGTGCACGATACAGACAAAAATGCGCTCTCCACACAGTATTTTGGACTAATACAGTAGAACTTCTCTGCAACGGCCACCTTGGGGACAGGGGAATGTGGCCGTTGAAGAGAGTTGGTCATTATGGTCCATTATGGGGAGGTAGGAGTGTATAATAGACCTGTTTTCCTATTTCAGCATCTCTATACCTAACACAATCAAAAGAGATCAATGTCGCGTGGTACGGATCAAGTTTGGTCACCTTCTACAGTAAAAAATGGGTTTTGTATCGTCAATGTTGAGAGGTTATTTTTGGCTGTCAGGAGGCGTTTTAGTGGCCGTAGACGTGGTGAAGAGGTTATTGTTGTAGAGAGGTTAAAATAAGAGTGAATGTATAGACTGTCCGCAGGTACCAAAAACAGTGGCCCTTGTGGAGACGTGGCCGTTAGTGCAGGTTCGACTGTAAAAAGAAACCACGTTAATACGGTCATCTAAATTGAGTGACGTCTTAACAGATATATCACAATTGCACTTCTAAACAACTGTTCTTTAATAAGCATTCGAAATGTATCAGTGTGTAAAATAGTAACAATGGAAAGATGAACATTGATGGTTTGAGCATAGTTAGAAGTTTGAGTGGCTAATATGGGGTAAGATCATAAAGGATTATACAGGTTGAAATTTCAGAATGCGGCCGTTGGCCGGTTTTCCTAGAAGAAGATGTATGAGCGTTTCATCGGGACAAAAAAATTGGTCGTAACTGCGAGGAACTGCGAGGTGACCGTAAGGCGGGGTTCTATATGTGAGCCCGCGACATTGACCTGCGAGCTTTTTCGGCAATTTGGCGCATGCTTCCCTTCATGTGATACAAATATGGCGGACGAGGATTTCGGTTTTAACGCCTAGCGTCTAGTTTTTGTGTAAATTTTTCCCAATTATCCTCACCAGCAAGGTTTATTTTTATATCTAGAGTACCAGCGTGGAAGCCGAATCAGACAGGAAGACAAAGAGACTGTCAGAAAGAAGATTACTTTTTAATACGCACCGCGTGACAGACTGACCTGCGCGAAGAGCGCTGAAACGTTAGACATAACAAAAGCTCAGGACACATGTCTTTACCATTAGGAGCAACGCCGCGTGTCGCCCGAGATTACCGACAGTTTAGCCAGAGTCCTTTGTCACAGCCATTTCAAGGAGGTTCAGCGGCCGCTATGGCCCAAGCTGGTAAGAGTTTACTTAAATATATCGTAGGAAATTTTAAAACACTTTTGTTTTCGTACGGTTTGTTTTCCGGGTTTGACCGTCGACACAAAATCTGATGTTTCCATATGCAGGCTTTTCTTTGAAGGCACGTCTTCCTAATTTTATAGCGCTTTGCTTTTGTTTAAGCGTGTGCTTGAGTTCGATCGGTAGCCATTTTAAAGTGTTGCTGAAGTGTACATGGTGATGGTTAAGGTTGGGCGTTTGTCAGATCAGAGAGCTTGTGAAATCAAAGTACATGTAATAGGGTCTTTCAGAAACCGATGCAGTCAATGTACGTGCAAAAGTCGCACAATGTTACAAGTTCCTTTCAAGAGCAAGGTGTGATTATTACATACAGGTCAACGTAACAATGTAGAGCAGAATTTATGTCCCGGGACCATATGTGTACAATATCAGATTCACACACAACGGTGTAACACAAACTATTGAAAGCAAACATCTTTTCTGATATTGAAACTTGGCTTTGACAGTACTCACCATTTGTAACTGCCCAATCCGCATGCAAAGGAAGCCATGTTTGATAGCCCAGGGCTAGTAGATTTTGCATAGCCATAACTTTGCATTGTAGAGAAGTGGAGGTGGTGGAGGTTGTTTTTCTGTGAATCTAGTATTGCTAGGATTTTTGTGGGTATTTGTTCATGCCAGTGACATGGACTGGCCCCAAGGGAAATATTGAGTGTTGTTTCCGTGAGACTCTCAATGTTTTCCCAGGCAAAGCCAATAGGAACATTGAGGGTTGAGGGGAGACAAAACTCACTATTTCCCTTGGGGCTAGTCATTTAAAAGTGTTTTTTCATACCTCCCAACTCAACTGTGAAAAAGATAATTATTTGCTCAATGCCAGTGGAACAAATTTACCGTGGTTTCAAGGTACACGACCTGATCACGTGCGAGTCAAAAAATTCAAGTTGTTGTTTCCCTAGGCAGTGTAGTAATGCTGGTTTGCTTACAGTACTAGCGATCTCTGGTCATCTCACCTGAGAGTGATCAGTTGAAAACTAGCTCTGATATTTCCTCCTGTTCTCGGAGTAGAACCAGTGGGAGAAGTCTAGTCTTTCCAACTTTGATGCTAGTTCGGGCAATCTTGTTGCAGGTGGCTGCAAGGGGCTGCAAGAAGTAAGCTTGAATAACTGTCAGTAGCTCCTTTCAAATACAACTCAGCATTTTGTATTTTCATCCATGCACGTTTTCATGAGTCACAATGCAGCCAAATTCCTCTGGACTAGAAAGCTTTAGATCCTTTTTTAAAAAATTAAACTAAAAAGCGAATTTTGAAGCAATCGTTCTTCTCTTGAATGCCACTTGAAACCGAAAGTTAGCTCAGTGAAGTTCAGTCTGTGATTGACCGTTGTTGTCTCGTTAGCCAATTAAATTATTTGAACAGTTCGTACAAGGATTGTGATCAGCTTATTTTAGTGTGCTTTATCATAGAACAGATGCATGCTGATGCCACTTTTACTTGTTTGGAAAATAAAGTTTGGTTTGAAAATTCAGCCAAATGCATGGGGAAATTAATGGATTCTTTATCATAAAACAAATAAAGAAGCCTTGACTGTGCTCTGTTCTGTTGTAAAGCACTTAGGAAGGGGTAGAGCACTCAAGAAGTAGGGAGAAACACTTGACTACATGTACATGTCGTGTTTTCCCCAGGTACACTTCTTTTGTGCTCTATCACTTCCTGCGTGCTATACAACAGAACAGAGCACAGTCAAGGTTTCTTTATTTGTCAAACAAAGTGACTGCAACTGTACAGGACAAGAATTGTGAAGTAAATTTGGGATAGTTATTCCTGTAGCCACCTGTAATGTTAATTTTTTTGTTTGCTGAATTTCATTCCTTGCAGCAAGATTTCGTCCACCTTATCACCCTGGACCTCAAGCAATGATGGGACAGGTTTGTATTTTTCCCCTTGATTCATCAAAAAGATTTTGACACTGGCAATTTGTGAAAATAGCTCTTTTTGTCCCTATGTGAACACATTAAAAGTATTTTGAACAAATATAAGCTGAGGGTTTACTCCCTAAATTTTATGGTACAGGTGTGTATCTGATGGTGTGCCATTGAAGCAAATTCTGGTTTCTTGCAGGCTCCAAACCAGTGGGGACAGATGAGCTATGGGCAGCCAAGATTTGCAACCCAGAGACTTATTTCACAGGTCAGTAGTACAGCTGTAGTGTAAATAGTCATTATTGTGACCTTTTTTCGTTTTTGGTGTGGCTAATGGCCTGATGATTATAGTCTATACATAATTTTCTTGGAAAGCTGCAGACTCTGTCAACTTAGTTCTGTCTTGTACTAGCTTATATTTGCTTTTCATATTGTGAATCTTATGCTCACTGTGCATTGGATAAAACCAAATGTGTAACGTTATCTACATGTAACTATTCTTGTTATTACTGAGAAAAGAAGTCCCTATCCTTATTGGTACATTTGTTGAGAATGTACATACGTTTTAATGTGTTTTTGACTTTTGTCTGCACTTAATCAAAGAAAATTAGTCCTTTTCAAGACTAAGAAAATTCAACCGTTGCTCTGTTGCACTGTTGTGGACAGGTGATAGAAAATTGATCTCATTCCTCATGGTTACTCATTCCGTTTGGAACACTTCACTGTGGCAAGGTGGCACGGTAGAATTAGGGCAAAAACTCTATGAAATGATATTGGGAATGAAATAGCAGACTGTGTTTTTGCCAAAAGAAAACAGAAACTTTATGTTA